GAGCAAATGGACCCAAATCGCGCAACTCCTGGGGAAAAAAAAAAATCAAGGGCAGCAGCAGCATAACAGGAGCAGAATCGGGGTGGCAGCTGCGCGGGCCGGGGTGGCACAGGGGCTGCGGGGTGACCACTGCGAAATGGTAGCGAAACGGTAACGAATTGCTTCTGCTTGGCTTCCAGCTGGGGCTCTCCGGGCACAGAGCAAGGATGATGCCAAGGCGGAAGAAGACGCAAAAGGCAAGGAGGAAAGTTTCTCCATGGACAGCGATCTTGACTACAGCTCCGACGACAACGTCCCCGGGCAGGCGGCCCACAAGGAAGAGGACTCTGGCACGGCGCTGGAGGAGAACCCCCAGCACACCCCCGGCTCCAGCAGCACCACGTCCACGGGCAAGAACCGGCGGCGGCGGACGGCCTTCACCAGCGAGCAGCTGCTGGAGCTGGAGAAAGAGTTTCACTGCAAAAAGTACCTGTCCCTGACGGAGCGGTCGCAGATCGCGCACGCCCTCAAACTCAGCGAGGTGCAGGTCAAAATCTGGTTCCAGAACCGGCGGGCCAAGTGGAAACGGGTCAAGGCAGGCAATGCCAACTCCAAGACGGGCGAGCCGTCCCGCAACCCCAAGATCGTGGTGCCCATCCCCGTGCATGTCAGCAGGTTCGCCATCAGAAGTCAGCACCAGCAGCTGGAGCAAGCCAGACCCTGAGCATCTCCCCCTGCCCGCAGAGCCGTGAGGTTTGATGCAAAAGTTTCCAAGCTGGGGGAACAGGGCCGGGGGCGGGGGGGCTTGATCAGCCAGTGCCCTCCCCAAAATAGCAAGAACAAGAGAAGCAAACAATCCATCAACAAAAAAAAAATCCCCATGCGCACACCAAAAATCCCAGTGAATTTCAAAGCGAAACTTTCCCCATACAGAGAACCTGAAGGAAAGAGGCTTGAAATTGTGTTTTGCTTTGGAGCTGGGATATCAAATCTTGGAAGAGACACACAGATATTTATTATTATTAAACTGCCCTACTTTGTACATACCGGTGCTTTCTCAGTTGCGACACCTTGGCTGCGAGGGGACCGAGGAAGCATCAAAGCGGCATCGCCGGATCCCGCAGCAAATCTGCCTGTGCCCTCCGTCACCGGCAGCGCCATCGCCAGCGAAACCTGCAGCGCACATTTAGCCGCCTTTGGGGTTTTGTTTCTTATCGGGGCGAAAGGTAAAGACAGAGAACAAACGAAAGAAAACTAAGGGTTTAGTTTCTTGCCTTGGTTGTTATATTATTTTATTTTGGATGGCCAAGTGGCAGGCACTGGGTGACATTTTTTTTTAATATTTTTTTTGCCTGGCTTTCTGTCGATTTGGTTTGCCTATTCTACCAAGCCATGTTTAAACAGAGAGAGAGAGGGGGGAAAAAAAAGCACGATCTTCTCTATTGTGTTTAATTTATTTCTATGATGTAGCTTATTTCCTTATAAGTTATGAAATTTAAAAGCAAACTCCGTCTTGTGAATAAAAACCGACAAAGAAAGAAAAAGACAAACAAACAAAAAATCCCGCCCGCCCGCCTGCCCCCCCGGGTGCCCGTTCTGTGCGGGATTTGCTGGGACTCGGGGGGATTTTCCCTTTCCCCC